CCAGTGGATATTGAGTTTGAAGAATTTGTAGCCACCAAACTTACTACGGAAAAAGAAGACGAGTTGTTTAGCGTACCAAAGCTAAGGGTGGCAACTCTCCCCATGCCACCTGCAGAGAAATAAAAAATATTGGTGGAGTCTTTGAAAGAGATGGTGGACTCCCCAATTACTGAGAAGACAGACAAATCATCTAGTGTGGATACGGAAACGGAGGACGTCACGCCTACCGAAAAGGAAACCAACACTAAAGAAGAGGACGTCATGGAAATAGAAGAGATGGAGGAAGGTGAAGGGAACTACAGGATACTTTCGCCACTACTACTATAGTAATACCTGAAGAGGTAGTGCCGAGCCCAGATGAAGATATCAGGGTGTTTGAAATAGATGGGACACGGCCCACTCCACGCTATCTACCATCTAAAGTTAGCGTGATAGACAAAAAGTATGGCAGGGTCTATGACCATCGGCATTATCTATTACCTGAAGAAAAGGATAATGAAGACCCTAGGCATGTTTTGGCATGCCCGCCGTCATCGTATAGCCTGGCAGAGGAGGCCTCACTGTTGAGGCGTCTACGAGAACAGGCAAGGAGAAAGGGTGTGACATCTAATACTATACCAGATGGATATTCAGGTTTGATTAAGACCGAAAGATGTGAATTACCAGACGGAACAATTTACTCACTTACAAGTCACTGGGTACCTGAGATACCAATAAGGAGGAGGCAACACATGGGCACGCAAGTGGACGATATGAAGACAACCGCAAAAGAGACGCAGACGGAGACCGTGAAATCAGCTCAAACAGTAGATGTTGAAATAGAGTGTGACATTATTGCATGTAGAATGTACTGATAATTACAAACAATATATTAGACAAGTATTCAGTGTGACTTTTGGATTTTATAGATAGTGGTATATATATGTTTGTAAAATTGCATATTATTTATGAATATTTATAATGATTATTTATATATAAGGTAATTGATAATGGTAAGTAAGCTACTTTACATTGGCATGTTCATGATAAGCTTAGGCTACTAGGGAAATAGTTTGGGAACAGTTTGGGGACACACTCTTTTTGTTAAGGGGGCATTGTAACGGCCGGTCTGTGCCTGGGGAGATTAAATTTCGGGAGGGACAATTATCCCATCATGTATGAAAAAGTATTTAACTTGTGGATGGAAGTCAAGTGTTTGGGAATGGAGCTGAATTGTATAAATACCAAAATACTGTACGTTATTACCGGTGAAGTGTCACCTTGAAGCAACACTCTAAAATGTCACTTAATTATAGTTATGTACGTATTGAATTATTATGAAATGTGTTTCTTACCTTCCCTAGATAATTTGCTGGCGTTTTCGTGGTAGTTACCATGTATTTTTAGAGCTTTAAAAGGTATGTGCAGCGTAAATGTTGCACGACACGCTCTGTGTTATGATATTGTCGTCAGCCATTATTGTTGACGTTATTGTATTGCATCTTGGGATAGCGCAGGTGGCATGACGTCACAGACGTTATGCTATTTGCGTTATGTCTTTATTGAACTTTGTGTCGCACCGTGTCGTACTGATTATAAATACGGAAGTTCGCTTCTCTCGGGATCAGTCTTGTCTTTGCTGGGCGCCATATTCAAAATTTGAAAGTCTTACAAGCATTTGCAAATTAATATTGTCATATTGTCGTTAAGGTGGGCACAATTAATATTATTGTCGAAAGTAATTTCTATTCATTTTATCAATAAGTATTTATTTATCCTCATAAAGAAAACAGTTGGCTTTTATTAAATATAATATATCATCTTTACTGTGTACCGACACGACACGGTCTCGACACAGCTAGAGTGTCAACCATAAGAAGATACGTACGTTAATTCCTTTTGGGAAAATAAAGACCCGATATTTTGAATAGAGACCAGCTATCGAACTTAATTTTACTATAACACAAGAATATTTACTCTATATCACAAACAATCTGATTGGATACCTTTACTAGAAATTATTGAAGGCCAGCGGGCTATTTCACTAACACACAAAAGATCACTTAAATGTACGACACGCCAGCGACACACTTTTGAAATAAATTACAGAATATTGATTAATAGAGTCGTGCATAATTATAAAGTAGATTGACATCTTCATCTATGCCAATAAGTTAGAGACATTAACTATTAGGCATATACGTACAAACAGAAACATCAAACATTGTTTAAAAAGAAGGATAATATTGTTGCTAGTGTTATTGTATTCTATTTATATTAATACACATGTATTTCCCATATATTGATACCAGAGCTAACAACGTGTAACTACCACGAATGCCAGTAAAGCCGTTTATTAATCCCTATTTCTATCTCGTGTTTTAGAATCACATGATATTACGAGAGCAGCCAATATTGTTTTTAATTGTGTATACTATACTTATTAATATATTGTTCAACCTGTATAAACTATAGTGTTGTGGTTAATAAATCATTAACTTTATTCAGTATGATTCTATAAATGGCCTACAAGACTCAATCTCGATACTGATTACAGATTCGTTGGGTGCTACACTCACAAATTCATGTAGCAATCCTCTAAGTACGCAACCTACGACCTGTTTTCAGGTATATAAAATTATCAGACACATAACGCTAAGTATAAAGTCGTCCGTCACCGGAAGTCGGAACCCTCAGCCCGCTACAATATGATACAACTTTGTTCTACGAAAATGTCAAATGAACAGTTGAAGGATAAATGTAAATGTGTTTTAACAAGTTTGAACTCGTCACATGCTTCTTTGAACAGTAACCACCCGGTCCGATTCTGACGATTTGAAGAGAGAAATCCATCAAAGATCATAATCAGCTTTAAACAGTCATGCTGGTTAAAATGAAGTAATTATTTACATAGGCGACAATGGTAGCCTTTTTGGGTCCTACGTTTTAACTATAAAAGATCCGTTGATAAAACTGTCAAATTCTGAATTGTCAACACCTTTAGGGGTGAATAAAACTGCAAAACACATATGGTACCGCAGATTTTTTGATAGAAAAATGGCATTTTCTAAGGGTACTCTATGGTTCTAGAATTTTCAAATAGTATGAATGATGAACACCCCTTGCTTGATTTTGCACAGAAAATATTAATGTTGCTCGTCACAGAGAGTTTCCTCCAAATTTCTCGCTATTTCTACACCAAATACCAACACTCATCTCTCACTATTTCAATTTAGAAAATGAACAGGGCAGCAGACAATAAATTTACTTCTACCTATTATCATGGATGTAAAAACTAGGTGGCGCCAGTCACTTTAATTACTTCCTTTTAACCTATATAGTAGCTACATTATGCGGAATCAGTATCACAAAACTTTATTAGTCAGCAAAATATGGAATACAATGAAACTAAGAAAAAAATTAACCTTGTCTTTCCACCGGTTGGGGGTTACCTTTATCCGGTGGCGATGCTACACAGTGTTACCGTTATAATGATTGAATGTTTGAGGGGATCATGAAATCAAGGTCACAATCTTAATTTGTCATATAATGTAAAACAATGAACATATGTACTAAGTTTCAAGTTAACTTAATCAATAATTCATGGTAAACCTCCTTAATTGAAGACTTGAACCTGCGAATATAAATTGTTTCACACTTTTACATGTATGATGAACCGTGAAATTGGGGGCTAAACCATGATGTGACATAAACTTTAACATTACTTTTCTATATGAGAATTTGACAATTAGGTCAGTTCATAAAATCGGGTTGATATAGAATTATTGCGAGGTTAGATCATAGGAATTTTGTACTATATCGGAAATATTTGGCAGTTTACCCAACAATATCTTTGATATTTCATTAACAAATATATCGATACTTTTAAAGGGAAATATTTGAATCAATGCTAACAGTCAATAATGGAAGAAGGTGACAGATTTTATTTCAATAAGATTGATCGTATTATACTAACATACCCGTGATCCTTTGCGACACAGATATAAACATTAGATATTGCATAACGCTCAAGTAGTAATAATGGCATCAGTTTATCTTTCTGAAAGATTACTTACTTAACAATTTAGAGACCTTGATGACAATTCATCGTAGCAACATATAGTCTATTTTGATAGGAAACACAACCCCTGGAACATACTAAAAGTGAATTTCATCTAGTTAACCTTCGACTTTTTTAAAACTTTTGCTTAAAAAAACATTTTCAATATATTATTTCGGAAAATCACCAGATAACTTTCTATTTATATTAAATCTTATATATACAATTGGATATTCAAAGCTGGATCAGCAAAATGGAAGTTAAGGGTCATACTAAAAACAGCTTTGACCAGCATGATGCATCTGGACCTATTAGAATCAGCTGACGGCTTACATTGATCGTGAATATTAGATGACAATTCTTGTGTAAAACACAAAATTGAAAGTTGCACTGCAAATTTGGCTTTTCATGTTGAATTTAAATTGTGTTGTCATCATAGACATATACTTCTGAAGACTGAAAGTTCGAGAATTTATGAGATGTGGCTTAAATTAAAATTCAAAATCAACACAGTCAACATTTGTTAATATTTGTCATTTACAGATTATCTCTACCAGTATCACAGAAATAAATAAAGATGAGAAAAAACCCAACCAACTTCGCATATATATGAACACAGAGATTAAAGACTGCGTATTTTTTAATAGACAAATAAATACACAAATTACATTTAATTAAGGTTCGCGTTCTTACAAAAATACTAAAGTCAATACCATGTTTTCATAGATAAATTCAGATTGGTTAGTATATATATGGATTACTCTGACTGAGTTTTGCATCGCTTCGGTATTCATTAACACGTAGAAACCTGTCTGACAACATAAATATTAAAACATCTGGCTATAATTAAAAAAGAGTCGTGCCTGATGCAAATCTAGATTTATTGCTTTGAATTAAATAAAATATTAGATTTTGAGTCTTAGTTTACGAAAAAATGTCCTATTCTTTTTTTCTTTTTTAGGATCAAAGCAAACAAAAGAACACTTAGACATGATGCAATCGCTTAAAAAGGATTTAACAAATAAAATCAACAATTGATTGAAATGTAATAATAAACATTGCATTTGAAATTGTTTTATATGTTTTGAACCAGTTTACAGAAAAGTCAAAAGCCTTTTAAAAATCTTCTTAGAAGAAATGGGCATATGTTTAACACCCAGTCTTTGATAGAACTGTGCAAAAGGCTTATTAGTTGGTCTACATGACGTGTCAACCAAATGTAATAAAATTTTGCACATATGCTTTTATAGTCAAAAGAATCAAAAGTTTTAACTTTTAAATTTGATATGATGCTATATAAATAAGAAGATGTGGTATGAGTGCCAATGAGACAACTCTCCATCCAAGTCACAATGTATAAAAAGTTAATAATTATAGGTCAAAGTACGGCCTTCAACACGGAGCCTTGGCTCACACCGAACAGCAAGCTATAAAGGGCCCAAAAATGACTAGTGTAAAACAATTCCTTGTTTAGAGTTTGCAGCGCCATCAACTGAATAGGAATATTTCCCAAATGAAATTCAAATATGAAAGTTATAGTGCAGTAAAATAGTTTTATTCAGATATCTGAAGAATAATATAGCCTTCAAAATGGGTTTATGTGAACATCAATATTGTTTTTAATGTTTTATAGCCCGTTATCTGTTTGACAGTCCGTAATTTCACATCTGTACCACTCATAGGTCCAGAAATTATTGTAGTGTTTTCCACCAAATATTTTACGCTCGAATCTTTCAATTCATTTTTATGGAAAATAAGATGAAAATTAATGTTGACAGAATATGGAAGTTTGACATTTTTCAACTGAATCATAGATAGAAAAACACATTGTTTTGTCTAAAAACTCTCGTTTTACACTTTGGTATGCTATGTTTGATATTTTAAGATATTTCAAATTTTAAAAAATGCATTTTAAGTGTATAATCTCCCTTTGTACCATGATAGCAAATCAATATTCATGGCATATGATACTGTATTTGTATGTTCGTTGTTACTTAAACTAACCTTGTATAATATAATAATGCTTTTGAAAAATTTACACTTACATTTAAAAAATTATCTACAGATAGATATTTTTAATTCATTGATTCAATGTGAGAAATTGAAACTTTAGGCATTTTTTGAATGAATTCGGGAAAGTACTTAAACGAGAGTCCACAAATTTTGTAAGCTAAACTGCAGCATTGTTCACTCTCACGAACTCAAAAAGACAGATGAAAGTATGTTTATATTTTTAATGGACAAAGAGCTGAATATTTTTTTAAAATGTGTACTCTTAAGATCTTGATAAATGCATTTTTACTGAATTATCTCCCGCTGTACCATAAAAAATCAATATTTATGGCATCATATATGGTAATTATATTATGTTCATTATTTCTTAGTCTATTCTTTTCAAGTAATATAATGCTTTTGATAAAGAAATACTTTCCATCTACGAATCGATAATTTAAATTCATTAAATTATTGAGAAAACATGCTAATTAGGCATTTTTCGAGTAGAATTCTAAGATGTTCTCAAACAAGAGCCCAGAAATGCTATAAGCTAAAATGCATTATAAACTGTTTCACGTAAAAAGACAAACGAATGTATTTTTATTTTTTTGATGGACCAAACGCTTAACAGTTCCAAATATGTACTTTTTATGATTTTCTGAAATGACTTTTTTAGCTCACCGGGCCCGAAGGGCCCCTTGTGAGCTTATGCCATCACTTGGCGTCCGTAGTCGTCCGTCGTCTGTCTCTGTCGTCTGTCGTCTGTCGTCGTCGTAAACTATTTCTAGAATCTTCTCTGAAACTACACGGCCAAATACCTTCAAACTTTAACCGAATGTTTCTTAGTGTATCTAGTTTATAAATTGTATCCGAAGTTTTGATCCATCAACAAACATGGCCGCCATGACTAAAAATAGAACATAGGGGTCAAATGCAGTTTTTGGCTTATATCTCAAAAACTAAAGCATTTACAGCAAATCTGATGTCAGGTACAAATGTTCAATAGGTCCAGATCTATCAGCCCTTAAATTTTCAGACGAACCGAACAACCCATTGTTGGCTTGCTGCCACTAAATTGGTAATTTTAAGGAAATTTTGCAGTTTTTGGTTATTATCTTGAATATTATTGAAGATAAAGATAAACTATAAAGAGCAAAAATTTTCAGCAAAGTAAGATTTACAAAAAAGTTAAATGACCAAAATTGTCAATTGACTCTTTAAGGAGTTATTGCCCTTTAAAGACAATTTTACACAATTTGTTCATCATGTTTGCTTATATTTAAAAAATCTTCTCCTCTGAAACTACGAAGCCAAATACTGCCAAACTTTAACTGAATGTTTCGTAGGATATCTATTTTATATATTTCATCCGATGTTTTGATCCATCAACAAAAATGGCCGCAATGGCTAAAAATAGAACATAGGGGACAAAAGCAGTTTTTGGCTTATATCTCAAAAACTCCAGCAGTTAGAGCAAAAGCGAAAGGAGTTAAAGTGATAAATGGGTCATGATATATCTAACATGAAATTTTTAAACAAGTTCGACAACCCATTATTGGGTTACTGTTGGAAATAAATTTTTTTATTAAATTTTTCGGTTTTCGGTTATTTTTCTTAATATATATTATAATAGATAGAGAGAATCTGTCAATGGCAATAAATCTTCAGCTAAGTAAGATCTCTAAATAAGTCAACATGATCAAAATAGTCAGTTCACTCCTTAAGGAGTTATTGCCCTTAAAACTTTTTTTTTTTTTTTACATTTTTTCTGAAAGTGTAATTACTTTTTCAAAAATCTTCTTCTCTGAAAATACTTGGCCAAATACCCAAAAACTTTAATTAAATGTTCCTTATGGTATCTTGTTTATTGATTGTATCTTATACACTTTATAGCTTGCTGTTTGGTGTGAGCCAAGGCTCCGTGTTAAAGACCGTACTTTGACCTATAATGGTTTACTTATATAAATTGTGACTTGGATGGAGAGTTGTCTCATTGGCACTCATACCACATCTTCTTATATCTATTATATGTACATTTTACCTATCAAGTATTCTTCAGACCAATAGTGTTGGGTTACTGTCCAGAAATAGTTATTTTTTAGGAAATTTTACAGTTTTGGGTATGTATTAACCTTAATATTATTATAGAAAGAGAGAACGTGTAAATGACAAAAATTGTTCAGCAAAGTAAGATCTACAAATAAGTCAAATGCCTGAAACTGAAATTACAGGTGAGCGATATCAGGCTCTCATGAGCCTCTTGTTACTGGTTTCTCTCCCTTGGAATAATCCACAAAAGGTTTCTTGTAAATTTGTATTCTGATATAATGCTTTTGAAAAAGCAACACTTACCATTCTACAGTTATCTACAGATTGGTATTTTGAATTCATTGATTTATTGACAAAACATGTACATTTAAGCATTTTTCGAGTAGAATTCTAAAATGTACTAAAACAGGAGCCCAAAAATTTTATAAGCCAAGATGCATTATTGACTATTTCACTTAAAAAAAAGAAGATATGTTTATATTTTCAATGGACCAAAGGCTGGATAGTTTTTAAAATATGTACTTTTTATGATTTTCTGAAATGTTTTTTCTCACTGGTTCATCTCCCTTGGAATAATCCATAAAAAGGTTTTTTTGTAAATTTGTGTAACAAATAATCAACCTTTATCTCATTGTTTTCCTCATTCATAACCTTAGGATGCAGAAATTGGTCATGTGTATGGAACATGGGGAAACTGGATCCGTATACATTACAGCATCTCCTTAGTAAAAGGCATGGAAACCAGATGAATTTTTTTTTTTTCATGGACTTTTTCCACAATGTTTTTTAAGTAAAACAAGTTTCAATCAAATCTGATGTACCCCTTCTGGACTGTTTTGCATGGTTTTATGGTATACTGGGTGTTAATGACAAGATTGCTACGCCGTAGCGAAATATTCCATGCGCTTATAAATAAGGTATTGAATTATGTGTCATTGTGGAAATACTAAAATTATGGTAAAACTGCCATAACTCCCATAGAAATAGTAAAATCAAAATTACAACCACACATAATGGCAAGCAATCCTACCAAATATGAGAGCTTTCTGTCCAATGATCGAAGTGTAATGCGTTCACCATTTCAATTCTTCAAAAAATATTCAAAGCGCGATAACTCCTGTTAAAATTGTCAAACCACAATGGCGGTACAATAAAGGTCAACTATGCATAATGGGAAATAATTCTACCAAGTATGAGAGCTTTCTACCAACAGTCTTAAAGATCACGCGTTCACATATGATTATGGTAACAACACTAATCTAAAGAGTCTAATATCTTGCGTTATAATGTGGCCCTGTTGTGTAGGAAGAAACGAACGCTCTGGTAATCGCCGTACACAAACGTTACTTTAGAAAAGGAGGTATTTTGGTAAATTATAAGTCCTTCATTGCCTCAATGATTATTACATTGAAAGACAAATCTTGTTTGTATTTGAAACCCAAACGTCACAAAACTTTGTACAAACAACAGTACATTGCCGACTCATCTGATTGATCTGCTAAGGAATTGCCCGTTAGTTTAAATTACATTTTGTCTGCAGTAAAAGAGGTATTACAGAAATACTGTGATACTGTTTACTCGCTTAGTTGCATTAAGCTTATGTGGATTCTTAATAAATCAAAAGAACTTTCGGAAAATTTAAATTCTCGGTCAGTCTCTGAAATGCCATTTTGTTTTTCTTTGTTGACATATTTGTTGTTATTTATAGTGATTACGATTATAACACAATGTTGACTGCTGTACCTCTATTTTTGACATTTTTACCTATTATGTCTGTTTGTTTTGTTCACACATTGTTGTTAATATAACGGAATTTTATGCGACTCATACAATTGAGAGGTTTAGCTAGCTATAAAACCAGGTTTAATCCTCCATTTTCTACATAAGGAAATGCCTGTAACAAGTCAGGAATATGACAGTTGTTTTCCATTCGTTTGATGTGTTTGAACTTTAGATTTTGCCATTTGATAAGGGACTTTCCGATTTGAATTTTCCTTGGAGTTCGGTAGTTTTTTTAGTTTTTTTTATCA